TGGTGAGAAGTGCTAAGAAGGGAGATGGTTTGTGGACAAAGCGGCCGTCGTGAAAGATTACCGGCTTCGGTAATTTGTCAATCGCAACCGCTTCCACCGCCGGATTGGGTGGTACCATGTAACCCTCCTGCAATTTTATATACACAGTTCTCAAATCAACTCTTACTCGGGGGAAAAAAAAACCTTGGTTCCTTACCCCCTTAGTATCGATAATCCATTCTTTCTTATTATTTTTCTAATTTTTATATTTTTTTTTCAAGTGTTAAAAGTATAGTATTAAATATATGTTGACATGTCGACATTTGATATGTCTATACATTAATGAGTTCGACATCGATATAAATGGTAAATATATATTATAATAGAAAAAAATCGATAAAAATCTGCCTAATATCAATATTAATCATTATTAATTTATTTAGAAATATAAAAATATTTATGTGTTAATTTAAATATTTTTATGATATCTTTTAATTTATTACAGAAATGTCAATTGATATCGACAATTTATCAATATTTTTATCACATTTCCATGAAATTGAGATATTGAAATTTCTCTTGGCGTCTTATGTTTTTCTCCTTAATTTTCAGGAACCAAGTTTTTTTAAATAAAAAATAATTAAAAAACGATCGAAATTATATATGTATCATATATTCATATTAGTAATTCATATTAGATATCATATCAATAATATATCAAACGTATATCACATAAATATAGTCAATTATATTACAGATTATATTATTTTATTTGGATAAAGTTATTATTTTGAAACTCTACCTCCCTTCCAAMGAGAAAAAAGTTCTGTAAAAAATTTATAAATAAATGGTGAAGTGAATTCAAAAGCAGTACCGTTACCTTGCACAAGGACATGAAAGGAAGATCAGTTAAGCGATCGCCAAGTCCGATCTCCGGTGAAACATCTCCAAAGGCATTCTTAAGAGCATCCGCCTTCCTCCGGCCGACGAGCACTCCCGTACGGCCAACCAGCCCCGTCGCCCTTCCACTTTCCGTCACACTAATCTCAGTCCCCAACACCAAATCAACTCCCAAGAAATCCTTCAGAAACGGCTCCACCATGACCGTCGGATTCGCCGTCAAAACGCACCGTCTCCCGCACGCGGAAAACACGCGCCACGACTCCGAGTGCAGATCCGTGGAGTAAAATTTGGGGAGAACCGCACGCGCCACGGACTCGATCCTCGAAACCCTGACGCCGCAGAAGGCGACGAAAATGAGAATCTGAATCCCCGCTGACTCGGAGACGAAATAATAGAGCAGCCCCACCAGCGGAGCGGCCAACACCAAAACAAGAAGCCGAAGAATTCCGCCGAGTTCGAAGGCCATCACTGCGAAATAAGGGAAAGAGCTCCGGCCTCTGAGCAAAGTCCCGTCCATGTCCGCCACTACGGTATCATTCTCTCGCCCTCTCCATTCGCATTTTCCAATACTTGCAAAATTACTACTAACCGTTACCGCCATCCACAAATAATATTTTTAATTTTTGAGATTGATTTTTCCCCAATTCGAGAGGCTTAATTCATGTGTGTTTTATATACAAGAGAGAGATACAATGATTATSACAACGTAATGTAATGGTATATCCAAGGATTACGGATTCTCAGAGGTTTCAGATCTAAACTAAAGCTTCTTGTTTGTGCCACCGCTAGGGTTTTGTCTCATCGCAGCTTGATGAATTATTTGTCACTTCCACTCATGCTCTTGCCTCCTGCTCTCTAAATTCAAATTATTACTTAGATAACCACTAAAGATATAATCTTTTAATCACACTTTTAGTTTGGGTTCTGTTTTGAGTTCATAACAGTTCAAATTGATTTTGTTTAATTTAAATTATTATTTTTGGTGTCGTTTTATAATAATTTTCATTTTTGAAACAAAGTAATTTTGTTGCACGAATTTTCAAACCCTAATTAAAAGAAAATGTTATATCGGTGGGATATAGGGTTTCAGTATCGTGTCAACGTGTATTTTTTTCTTTTTTAAAAGATGGACATGTTTGTAGGAATTATGAAATAATTTTTATGATTTATTTTATCTTCTTCAAAATTGACATATYTACCAGAATTACAAATTAATTTTATGATTTATGTTTAATTCTTTAAAAATCAACATATTTATCGAAATTACAAATTACGTAACTAAGGTTTCAATATCCCACCAACATATATTTTTTCTTTTTTTTTTTACCCTTTTAAAAGTTAACATTTTATTTTTAGAAATCGCCAATTAATTGTTATTTATAGGTTTGAATATCCCGCCAACATATATTTTAGAAAGTTTGATATATTAATTTGTAGGAATTACAAATTACATGAAAAAAAACATAAATCTTTTCTTTTCTTTTTCCTTTTTTAAAAGTTAACAGGAACYMTGAATTAATTATTCTACAATTTATTTATAGATTTGGATATTCCACCGACATTTAATTTGTAGAAATTATATGGAAAAGACAAGCACAACCATTGATAAGTGAAAGCCTTGAACTAAAAAATGGGAAGCACCAAGGGAACATATAATTAACCGCTAAGCCAAGAGGTAAGTTGTAACCTTGTTATAGGGGAGGAAAACGTAGTAAATAAAAAAGACAAAACAAATATTTGGACAAAAGGGGCAAAAAATCATGTACAATGTTAATAAATCGTATATGACCTACACSATTTTTCTTTATACCACCTCGATCTTGATCTTATATCATATGTGACACCCTTAAATCGTGTGGACGTATGCGGTTTTTGRCTTTGATAAAAAAATTATCATATTTTTGTCAATATATTTGGACATATATATGTCACAGTCTTACCATTCTTTATTTAATTTTTATTTTTGTTATTATTTTGTACAAAAATTATTTTTGAAATTTACCCGCTAAATTTTGTTAGACAGGTTCGATAAAAATGACACATTTATCCAAATTTAATTATAAAATGAAACACCGCTAAGGTTGGAAATTAATGCGACGAAGTCCGTTTAATCTAAAAGTCACTTTCATTATTAAATCTCAATAAAGCACATCATAATATAGTTGGATGGCGACCCAATTTGCTCTTAAAAAAACAGAAAAAGAAAAGAAATTAAAGAAAAAAGATGGCGACCCAATTTAGTTAAGGAAGTTGATCTTCATTATATATACATGATTACTCAATTTCAAGAAAAAATATAAACTCCACGTGTCTATCATGCCTATAGAAAATTTTCCTACCTTACAATAGTATAGATATTATTATTATTGATYGTGTCATGTTACTATCATTTAAAAATGATTTGAAGTCTAACAACGTTAAAGAATTATTTATTAACGAAAAATTGTGGTGTGAACCAAAGAGAGCAAATGGAGTAGATATACTCATGAGACCTATAGAAAGGAAATAGACTCCAAGTTTTTTTTTTCTATTAGACTATTTATGCTGCAGTCAATAAATGAAAAAGAGCCTAACGTATTTGTAGTACTATAAATTTTTGCTTTTAACGAGTAATCGTATTATATAATTTTTTTTTTATATAACCACCTGGTTGGGAGAAAAATTATACATGGATTGACTTTTAAACAAGAAGAAACTTTAACAATAATATTTTATACTGTTGATGCGTGAATTATACTCTCCCGGTTTCTTCCTAGATTCGCACCAAACTTGATAATCACGGAACAAAGAATCTGCAAAACCAATCAAACCCAAACTGGTGTGACTCCAATCACACGGGCTCCGATGCCTAAGTTAACAAGGAGAATAGATGGATAATGGAATTAGAGTGTAGAGAGTAAGGTGTTTTTGCATACCTCTAGGGTTTGCTCCCCTCCATTTATAGAAGTCAAGTTTAATCCCTTAGGGTTTAGCCCAGTTGAATCCCTATACATCTCAATATTCGGGCCCACTCGTTCGTTGTRGACTTTAAATCAAATTGAGAATCAAGGCGGGATACTTCAAGTGGGCTGCGAAACGGTCGGGATGAACCGCTTCTCAACCGGGGGTCCGAGAACAGCTTGACGCCGAGGCCTCGTCGGCCAGGGGCCGGCCCAAGTCGTCGGGTGCCGGCCCCTCTTTCCTGGTTCGTGCTTTCTCTCGGGTTTCCTCCAGTCTCCATCGCTTGGTCTATTCTTCTTTTATCTCCCCATAAATATATACTTTTCATTTGAAMTATTTTGTTTTATTTATGTTAGCATGAATATAGATTGATGTAAAAACATATAGCGATATAGCTTCACGCCTTTTGAGGTTTGAAGTTCAAATTTCACTCCTTGATATCTGTGTACTAAAAAACTCTTTTTATTTTTTGAAATTAATTATTTAATTATTTTTTWTTTTAAGTATAATTTTAGTGCATATATGTTATGTTTTAAAACCAATTTATACAAAATTAAGACAAATAAAAATAAAATTATTTTAAAATTGATTTTTTTTTAATTCAACAACATGCATTAAATAATATAACAACATGACATTTTAAAATATGGTCTTATACAAGTTTGAACATTTATCGTACACATATTTGACTCAAAAGTTTAATAAGCTATTAAAACGAAAAAATCCAGACCATTTACTGAAATATAGGAAAAGAAAAACGACTATACTTTTTAAAATACATCTTCTCAAATTCTCAAATTTTGATTTTGGAGAACATTACARATAATTAAAATGTGATTTGATTGAGATATTTATAATGTCGCTTTTTTATTCAACTTTCTATTATTCAATTTTTAGACCACACTAGCAAACACGGATTTGGTTAGTTGAGATTTTACGCTGAGATACTGGTCTTTTTTTTTTGGGGGAAAAAGTTGAGATACTAGATTGATCTCAGATCGTGGATAATTTCACTTTATAAAAAAAATACCAATCTAATTTCTTTTGAACTAAACACAAATAAAATAAAGCTTAAAACATAATGTCAATAAGAGTTTCTATACTTCTAAAAGATTTAATTTAGTTTCTCTGGGTTAAAGCTTACCAATTGAAATTATTAAAGTCATAAAAATCGGATTAAAACTAAGCCCAACCAACAAATATTAAATCCTAACTTCTAAAACTATAGAATGGGCATAAAATGTAATGGCTAATTGGCACCACCTGCAAATACCGCGAAACAAATCTAATTAATTACAATATATAGCAATAACATCATGAATTTATAAATATAGAAAGGAAAAACTTAGTCCAAACGCATAAGAAAAACTAAAATAACTTTGAAATTAATATAATTGCGTTGATATTATCAATATCGATAGAAATGTCGAGGTGTTAATTTTATGCAAATATCGATGAAAATATTGGTAAAATGTCAATATCATATTTTTGTAAAAGTTAGAGAAATAAAAAAAATCGTAAAAAATATTTAAATTAACAAATAAATATTTTTCTATTTATAAATAAGTTAAAAATGATTAATACTAATATATTAGGTATAAGTTAGTGACATTTTAGTGATATTTTTCATATTTTGTCAATTTTTATGTACTATGATGAAAATGTCGATTTAGATATATAGATGTTTTACTAATAAATTGATGGACACAGACAAGTCATATGTATAAGAGTAGATAAGAAATTATGTAAAAATATTTATATGAAATGTTTTTTTAGTACAAGATGTGTGGGTGAATGATCTTTTTGATTGAAAATATATGTCAATTACCGCGGAGTTGTTTATATCAAATATTTTTTAAATTTCTAATATTTTACTTAAAATATTGTCATTTGTAACATCATACTTCTATTACAATAAAGTATGGCAGCACGAATGGCCACCGATTAAAATTTGCCTTAAAATTAAAGTCCAACACAGGAGTTTCAATTGAGGCAACCCATCCTTTTGCATAGATCTCAAGAACGGGAGAATGATTGACCGTCGGATGTTTTGACTTTTGACCCAACAATCATTCTTCAGGTTTTTGTCTCTTATTTATTAATTTATTTTTTTTCGACGGAGGACCATTCTTCAGGTTGACGCCAACAAATACATCATCACAAAGCCAATATTTAAGTAACGGAAACATTTTTTAAAATTAAAACATGATTCCTCATTTTTTCAAATTCATGCATGTTTCGGGACACGTGGCATCCATCCAAACCCCTAATCTGCCCTCCTTTTTCTCTTCTTTCCAGAAACCTGTCAGAAACTGACGTGTTCAAACGCCTNTTTCGGGACACGTGGCATCCATCCAAACCCCTAATCTGCCCTCCTTTTTCTCTTCTTTCCAGAAACCTGTCAGAAACTGACGTGTTCAAACGCCTATAATTCTTACACCTATCCTCTAAAACCCCGTCCACCGTCCAAACTTTAAATCCTTTTCCTTAATCCCAAAGCCTTCTCTTCCCTAAAACTCCCATAATTTCGAGAATTAGACCACACCGACTATATAATCAAACAATTAAAGCTGTAACGTCCGTATTAAATTATGATGGGATTTTTGCTAACCTGTAAGAATTTCAATCGTTTAGTGAAATGTCCCATAATATTTGAGAAATAAGATGTATATGGTTTTAAATTAAAYAAAATGAAGCGAGATTTGGAATAGAATCTAATAATATAAGTGTACGCATGGAAAGAAAATAAAGGGTTGCGCTGCGCACCACCGAGGCCAAACTGCAGTGCTGGGATGAGGTGTGCATCCCCCACCAGCATTTGCCTTTTTTCTTTTGTTCTTTCTTTTTAAAAATTTGTAAATGAATTTTAACTAATTGACAAATTGGAGTTGAGAATAATAATAATAATGAAGGTGTGTATGGATTAATCTGGCAAACAGTGCAGAAATCGTGCCATGTGAGCTCTAGACGCTGTCGTTTTCATCGTCTTTCCTTATTTGCTTTATGTTGCAGCGGCTCTAATTTTGCGTGTGACTGACTGTGTGTGTTTATTTTTAATTTATTATTGTAAGGAATATTACGGAAAGGGGGAGCTTTTTTGAGCCTTCGAAAGGCATTTCACAAGAGAGCGTTGGTTTCGAGCTCAGTTTCTTTTCGTTCTTTGCAGAGCTTGAATTGATTTCCCTTTACTTGGTACTAGGGTTAGGGCTGGAAGGAAATCTTGGATTGT